GTAAAAGAAAATGTTTGCAAATAAATACTGTGGCGGTGGTTTTTTTTATTTGGATTTAAGTTCTTGAATTTTTCGCAGAAATAATCGAAATGGGAATTTTCAGATACCTACGTTAATTACGGTCAGGAGACGTGCAGTTATTTGTACGTAGTTTGTTGTCAATAGTCTTTGTTCCTTAATTGCTTTAGGATGAACGATGACGCCTTAAATTCATATACAAATAGTAATATCGCGTTATTTTGGATTGTCTTCCAAGTTCCATGTCAAGTTCACGTTTGCCTTTATACAGAGGATCTTGACGATGCGCAGAAATCAGTGGTAAAAAAAAATCAAATCCAGTGGGGGTCGTAAAACTCACAGACAGAGCTGGGCAGTATGCGATTTTGTAAATACTTTTTAGTAACGGGCGATCAAAAATGAGTTGCTGTCGAGTTGCCTTTGGAAGTTCAAATTAAATACGATTTCCCATGTAAACAAAAGTTCCAAAGGTGACTCGACAGCAACTCATTTTTGATCGCACAGTATTCAAATCCTTTAAAGTATTCAAATACTTTGTAATTAAATACTTTTATGGAAGCAGTATTTGTATTTGTAACTCAAATACTTTCACAAATATTTAGTATTCGAATACTTCGCAAAGTATTTGGATACTTAACCTTCCTTTTTTTACCAAAATCGACTACTCCAAAATTTCTCGGGAAAACACTTTTAATCTAGTAGCCCAATTTGGAACTTTTTGAAATTATGGATTCTACAGACCACATTCTATAAGAAAATTTGTTTTCCGGGTCGATGTTAGACAATTTTTTTTTCGGCCCTCAAAAAAAGGCAGTATAACCTTCCTTTTTTACCAAAAATCGACTGCACCAAAATTTCTGGGGAAAACACTTTTTCTTATTAATTTTGGTGGGTAGAATCCAAAACAATTCGTACTTTTTCGATCAGACTTCTCAATCAAAAGTTATAGACAAGAAACCAATTTCGAAAGAAAATTCAAAGGGCTGTAATCTCGAGTATGATACTATGAATCAGGCTGCTAAAAAAACGTTTCCTCGTCTCGTAATTGAATTTGTCTATCCATCTAAAGAAAATTGAAAGGGTTGTAACTTTTGAACTAGTAGCCCAATCTTGGAACTGTTTTAAATTATGGATTCTACAGGCCACGTTCTATAAGAAATTTTTTTTTCCAGATCGATCTAAGACAATTTTTTCTTCGGGTCTCTAAAAAACGCAGTACTTTTAAGTTATTCAAATATTTGAGAACAATTTAGAAATGTTTAGGGAAAGTTTCCATTGTCACAAAATCAAATATAAAAATCCGATACAACTGAATACCGAACGATCCCGGAGTGAAACTTTTTGACTCGATAGTTCACGTAACTTAAAAACAATAGGGACCTTTCATATATCCTTAAGACCATGTGTACCAATTTTCAAAGCGATCGCACGTTTCTAAACAAACTATCATGCACAAGGACAAACGGATGGTCAAAAATGGATTTGTTCCAAAATCGCTAGGATTACTTTCAGAAAGGCGTACGTATTATGTGCACGACGTACGATCGCTTTGAAAACTGGTACACGTATTCTTAAGGATATAACTGGTATAAGAAAGGTCCTTTTACTCCCCTTAAATTTGTATATAACAATAGAAATATAAAAAAAGCTAACCCCATACAAAGTATACCTAACTTGATTTTTTAAGTAGTATTAAGACTTTTATGTCTTACTAACCTATAATAGCACATTTTATATCTGTGATACGCGGGCATAAAGTACAACTTTATGCCCTAGGGCATTAAGTATCACCATAGTAACTCATTTATACTTAATGACAAAACAAACAATTATTTGCAGGTCATTGCAAATTAGAAACGTCAGTTATTAATTGTCAATACCTACTAAATCACAAGATTGGCCTTGTTTCGTATAGTTTCTGGAACTTCTTGCTCATTCACGATGAATTGAATTATTTAAAATTACGTTTGACGTTTGGATGGTTTCAATCACATTAACAAATTCGAACCACGCATACTCGATCAAACATAATGAATTATTTTGTAAACGAATTTTGACGAAGAAAACTATTTGTAAAACATAAAATTGTGTATGTACCACGGGCATAAACTGATGTTTATACTCTCAGGCGACTAAAAAGCTCTCGGGCCATAGGCCCTCGAGCTTTTTAACTTGTCGCCCTCGAGAATATAAACATCACTATTATGCCCTTAATACATAAATAACTATTATCTAGTATACTATTTTAAATTTTTAATGTATTTGAGTGACAAGTATTTTAAGTAAGTTAAGGAAATACTTTTCAAAGTATTCGAATACTTTTTATAGTATTCGAATACATTCTAAAGTATTTGAATACTTATTTTTTAAAGTATTTGAATACTTTTCAATGTATTTGTATCTAGTATTCGCTTGTGCTGGACGTAAAAGTATTTAGTATTCAAATATCTTTGATTTGTGTAAAGTATTTACTATTTAGTATTCAAATACTTTTTTAAAGTATTCTGCCCAGCTCTGCTCACAGAAAAGCAACGAAACCGGCGGCGATTTAGCGGAAACTTCTGTGGCGGTGTAAAAGCTCCTTATAAACAGATTTACTCAAATGCGCAGGGATTGAAAAACTCTATGTTAAAAAGACAAACACAAGGTACTCCGAATACGGCCGGACAACAGATGTCACGGGAGCTAGCTGTTACTTTTTTTTTTTAATTTCTTATACATTTCTGACGAAGTCAATAATTTTTTTTCAAAAGAATTAAGTTCACTTCGTTTCTGTAAGGCGAAGAGAGGATGCGTCTATGAAGGTTACCATTGGTTGATTTAAGTTATATTATTGGTGGGGGTGATTTTGGAATTAATGAGGGAGTGGAGCGACAGGTAACTGTGTGTAATTATTACAAATGAAATTTACGTCGAAGCGTTAGTGAAGATTGGACAAGGGAATCCGTAGGGGGAGGCGTAACGGAAAAGAAAAACGGTTAGTCAGTGAAATTCGAGTAGCACGGTCAGTAGCCCAGTTATACAGTTCGGGTAAAGAAAATTAAGTTGGTGGCAATGACTATTCGTTAACAGAAAGCGAAAGTAGAGTCGTATCACGGCCCCATCGAAAATATAAACGGTTAAAACCTTACGAGTAGCCCTACGAAACTACCTCTTTTTAACTTTTTTGTTCTATCTTCCTCAGGAGAAAAATCTACACGATATTGGTACAAAGACCAATCTGGATTTGCAATAACTTAGAATGAATCGTACAGAAACTGAGCGAATTTCTGTGGGTATATAAATAGCGCGCTATTGTGCAATACGGTAGAGTGTTCCAATTGTCCAAATTAGAACTGCTCGAAGGGTAGATATAGACGTCGTGTAAATAAGGTAAACCGAATTTGTGTATTTGTATTTCAAGTTTGGAAGTAAACCATTGTGGAAAGCACAATTCATTGTCTTTATAACCTTGTAAAAAAGATGAACAGGAGGATGTAAAAAAGTTTTAAGTTTCAAATTTGTATTAAGTGCCGAGAATTTTATGGCTGGTTTATAAAATTTAAAATTTTCAATTTGTGTGTAAAACAAACCGACAGAGTATTTTTTCCAGGGGGAAATTTAAATTATTAAATAGAAATTTAAATTATTAAATAGAACGTAGCCACGTATAAGAACGTAGTTATAATTCCGGGATACTAGACGATTACACAATCATAAAGTAGATTTGTTGCGTGAATGTAGAGGAAGGTGGAACTTAATTGATTTACATTTCAATATACGAGGCGTGTTAATTGATTTTAGAAACATGGATAAAGGGCAATATTGCCCGGTGACTCGATTCTTGTTTTGGGAGAAAAAATCGGGCAGCCAAACCCATTGGATGCTGTGCACGGTGACTCTTCTCTTTCGATAGGGACCGTCAAAAATTGGTTGAACAAGTTTCAACGTGGTTGGGCGTCGGTTTTTGATGAGCCACACCCAGATTCATCTCAAAAGATCTCGTGGGTCATATCTTGCATGAAATTTTGAGCATGGGAAAGTTATGGGCGCTATGGGTGCCGCGTTTACTCACTCGAAACAAAAACCACAACTGTGAGGCCATTTCAGAGCAGTATTTGACGCTGTTTAAGCACAGTCCGAAGGACTTTCACCATCGTTTCGTGACCAACGACAAAACATGGATCCACTGGTACACACCAGAGACCAAGGAACTGTCGAAACAATAGATTTCACCCGACGGACCTGTTCCGAAGAAGGCGAAGACTGCCCCATCGGTCGCAAAGGTGATGGCCACCGTTTTCTGGGATTCACAAGGTGTGATCGACTACCTGGAGAAGAGCAAAAACGTAGCAGGGCGCTACTTCCCTAATTATTGGGCCGATTCGACGTCGATTTGCAGAAAAATGGCCCCATTTGACGAAGAAACAAGCGCTCTTCCACTCGCCACGGCTAAATTGGTGAAATTGGGCTACGAACTACTGCCCGATTCACCGTATTCTCCAAATTCGGCCCCGTGCAACTTCTTTTTGTTTCCAAACCTGAAAAAGTCACATGTCGGTAAGAAGTTTCAGTCAAATGAGAAGGCCACGGAGGCCTACTTTCCAGACTTCGAGAAAACGGATTTTAGACGGGTCAAAGAAGTTGGAGCATCACTGGGTTAAAATTTCAATAAAACGTTCAGGGATTTGCCTACCTGGGATGTAATCCCTGTCACAGTGACGAACTACCCTTAAACGAATTACGAAGTAGTTACTGGGTCACTTTTCCACGCGACGGTGATGGTCTTCTCGCCATAACTGTAGGGATAATTAACAAGTACGCAAATAAGAAGATACGAAACATAAAATTGCCGAACATGAACCAAAAAACAAAGACAGTTTTACCTCACCCCAAAAATATATACCCGATGTTCGGTGACGAATTGAAGAAATCCACCCGAACACTTGTTGCACCATATTATCTTCGACGTTCATTTAAATAATTATTTTTATTTGTTACAGGAATTGTCGATAAGACGTGGCTGTAACAGACGGTGGACCAGCTTACGCCAACATACAAAAACAGACAATCTTCGTCTGACAGAACCTTCAACTCCTTCTTCTGCGTCTACTACGAGTCCTTTCATTGACCCCCCTAGGAAAAGCAACTGGCAGGTTATTGAACATTTCGGATCGTCAAGCAAGGTAAACATTTATGTTCCACGCTGGGTGTCATTTTGGCCCATTAAAATTTTGACCCAAACTGTAAAAATCATATGTTAAATGGAATTAGATAAACACATATCGGCACTGTACGGCGCAAGTATCAATCGGTACGCGAAATAGCAGAGTACGACATCATCGAAAAAAATCATATAATCCGATCCGATCCCAATTGTAAATCTAAACCATCCGAGACACATTCATTTTTACTGTATTTTGTTGTAAAGAGATTCGATTTCTGTGCGCAACTTGTGCGTCTACATTTCATGCAATTTGTTAACAAAAATGTACTGCTGATTGTGATCTGCCGACCCCTTCAATTAATTAACACTGTTTTCCTATGTTACATTTTGTGAAACGAAAATAAAGGGAATGTGCATTATACCACGTAGAGGTTTTTTAAAAGCAATGCAGAAAATTTTATTTTGACCGAAGCAGAGCCATTTCCATTTGATTTGAATATAAAAGGGATCGAAATAGCGTACTTATATTGTTCTCAGTTTGCAGAAAATGAGATATTTCTTTTTCAATTTTGAAGAGTTTCGGATTGTGTCCTTTATACACAAACTTATACGTGGCAGGGTCCGCGACGTAATAAAATAAGAGTTTGCATACAAGCCCCGAAGATAATCTCCAAGCTCAAGCATATATACAAAAATATTGACAAGAAAAGCGCTCCGTTAGCTGTTTTATTGCAATAAAACTTTAAAGTAATGTGTGTCTTGGGAGACAATTTTGAAAATTCGCAACTGTCTGGGTAGTAAAAAAACCACTCGGAAAGTTTACTATGTCTTTCTACAAAGTTTACAAAATAAAAATTCGCATCCGACCCTTATCCACTGCACTTACTGTCCGAAACTAAATCAAAGCGATGAATAAACATAGAAGCACTAAAATGCGGTCAACACTCTCCAAGCAAAAGTGTTAATGAAGCAAAACAGAAAATATAAGCGAAATTTTGAATGCCGTATAAATAAAACAAACGGTGTTAAGAGTGTAAAAATTGGGACATTAATGCGTGGTTGACCCAAGCACTCTGTAATTTTTAAAGTCCATTAAAGTATAAAAAAATTAAAGGGGTAGCGTATAAATACTTAACGGGGTTAGGAATTAAGTGACTACTATAAAGTGGATGTTGTGGATATTGGGTTGGGTGAATTATAAATAGTATTACTAAGGGATTTTTCAAGTTACGGCTTTTAAAATGTTTCTGTGGGTAAAAAGTGAGTTCGAAAACGCACATGTAATGTCCCTCGAGTAGAGTATGCGAAAGATCTGATAGGGTCGTATAAAGCGTTTTTCTTTTATAGCTTTTTTATTCATTCCTATACGCTTGCGGGCTCGCTTTAGAACACAAATTGGTATTTTATACCCCTTGTTTAGCAAGTATGAGCGTTAGGTTTATGATTTGTCTATTTGCAAATAAATAATGACCGCAACTCGCATTTACTGAAACAACCCTCTAATAAATCACAATAAATTGAAGATTAGTAAAAAACTAGTCTTCGTCCATACACTTGTTCCGGTGTAAAACTAAAAGTGTCTAACAAAACGCTTGAGCAAGACGTTTTTGTCAATGTTAGCAGCGCATTTCGTTTTTGTGGCTGTCAAACAGAACCTCGGTGAACTGTTTATTGCATCTATCCATCGATATCGACAGACGGGTTAGTACTCAGGTGGTTTGATTCTGATACATTTGGGAAATTCGCTTCATTTCTAAGTTTTTTCCATTGGGATATTCTTAGTTTTTGATTTGTCGGAGATTCTTTTAGTAGGATTTGCTTCGATTTTCAAAGTCAGCGTCAGAACAAGAAAATTGATTTAAAAATTACAAAAGTCCTCGTATGTGCATCGATGAGACTTCAGCGCATTTTTGGCGTGACGGATCAGTATTGCATTAGCAATCAGTATTTTATCAGAAAATTTTAATTATAAAATAAGGTTTATGCAAACATATATTTCTTTATTAATTTTCACGAACTCTAATAATAATTGGACGATGGTATGAACAGTACGACTCGTAAACCGAACAATCAACAGTGTAGTTGACCAGTTTGCCAAAAACTCCGTCAATTATTGTTCCGCCATTCGTTGTCACTGTTCGGGGAGAGATGATCACTATATTGAATTTCTCTTGAAGAAATTTCTCTACCCGATTTCCGACAGTTAATGGGAAATTAAAGTCTCCCATAATCAAGACGTCTTCAGTTGCCTCAATGAAATCCCCGATCTCCGATAACGCTGCAATCAACAAGTTGTTGCCTTTACTAGGAGCATCAGTGGTTCAAATTTCAAAGAAATATCTCCATAAATAAGAAAGTTGGCATTGCGCAGTCACTGCGCATGCCTACACATAATTTTTTACTATTTGCGAAATGTTTGCCTTTACTAGAAGCATCTGTGGTTAAAATTTCAAAGAAATATCTCCATAAATATCCATCATAGAAGAATTACGGAAAGAAGTGGATGTATTAAAATCCAGTAATATTGACTTGATAAAGTTATTATCAGCAAACGCGGGAAAGAACAATGTGCTAACTGTAAGTAAAGCTAAGCCAGAAAAAGTGGCTCTTAAATTTAAACAACGAAGTGAAAGTGTTCCTAGTGACAACGAAATTGCGACTAACAGTACAACAGCTTGCGATAAACTATCTAAGGTCGGTACAAGTGCAACAGGCACAGATAAAAGTCGCTCCGTATCTAAATCGACAAATAAAAATAATAACAACAAGGCCCACAACAACGTGGTTATCGGAAAAGCTGAAACTTGTGCTTCTATTGCGGGCTTTACCGCAATTCAAAAACGCGCTTGGGTTTATGTAGGTAGGGTAGCTCCTGCAACAGAAGCAGCACAAATTAGAGATTATTTGATGCAAAAATATGCAAAAAATAATTTTGAAGTCGACCAGCTACCGAAACGAGATGACGCTCGCAGTGTTGCTTTTCGAATCGGTGCGGACCTGGATTTAATGGACGAGCTGTATAAAGCAGAAAATTGGCCCAGCGGCGTAATAATTAAACAATTCCGATTTTTTCGGAAGTCTCAACCGGGACAATTTTAAACCAACTACTAACTTTAGAAACAGGGGTGACTACTCTATAAACCTTTTCTACACCAAGACCAACATTCAGTGTATTAGGAATAAAATTAATATTCTAGAATCTTATTTATGTGACAAAAACTATGATATTCTTTGTTTTACCGAACATTGGCTAACGAAAAATGAAGTGGTGCACTCGCTGATAGACAATTATGTAGTTTCATCTATATATACACGACAAAGCCACATACATGGTGGCACAATAATCATGCTGAAGAATAATATTGACTATACTGATCTAAATTGGGTAAGTGAGCTATCTGTGGACATGCACGGCGAAGTGTCCGCCATACAGCTTCTTAAACACAATCTATATTTGTTATGTGTATATAGATCTCCGAATGGAGATATACAAACTTTCATGCAAATACTTCAAAAGGTAATTGATAAAATTAACTGTCAAAACAAAATAGTTATCTGTGGTGATTTTAACTGTCAGTTTGATAAAAAAGACAAAAATTGTGATATGTTGTGTGACTTAATGGCCGCACTAGGTTTTTCTTACATTATTCATACTAATACAAGGAAATCAAACTGTATCGATAATGTGTTTGTAAATTATAACTTAGACCTGTTTAAGTCAGAAGTAACTACGTTAAGTATATCAGATCATAATCAAATTATTATAAAAATTCCGGTGGAGAAGGATGAAAAAGCCAAGAAATGGAAGACAATACGTCCATTTACCAATAATGGCAAGCTTGCCTTTTATAATGCAATTCTTAATTTAAATTGGGAGTTCATTAACGACAATGAGTGTCAGGGTGTTGATAACACATTTAATATTTTCCATGATAAATTTATATCCTGCAGGAATACCTGCTTCCCTGAGAGGAAAGTGAAAGACAATAGAGACCATAACGCAATACAATAAACTTATCAAAAATGCTAAAAGGACATTTTATGATGAGATTATACGAAAAGCAAAAAACTCAACTAAAACAATGTGGAATATAGTTAACAATAAAAGAAAGGTAAAAAAATGTAGTGCTTTAAATCTTAACCCAAATAAAGTAAACACGTTTTTTACCACGAATATCCAAAAATTATCGAATACCAGGAATAACGATGGAAATCCACAAAACTCATATCTAAGTAATATACACACTGGTACCTTACCGATATTCTCATTTGAACCAATCTCTTGTATTAAAGTTAGAGATATTATTACATCATTATCAAACACACACAGACAAGACACCTATGGTCTAAATATTCAATTAATCAAGCTTGTTATTGATATAATTATAATACCATTAACAAAATTACTGAATATGAGCCTACGGGAAGCAAAGTTTCCAAGTGCCTTAAAACAAGCCCTGATTGTACCAATACACAAGAAGGGCAATAAGAACGATTTAAATAATTACAGGCCAGTAGCACTTCTGCCAGTCTTTTCTAAGATATTTGTAAAAGCGCTTTGCTTACAAATAGCCGAATTTTTTGAAATTAATAATATTCTTAACAGTAAACAATATGGTTTTAGAAAACAATATAGTACACAAAGTGCTATTATTGATTTTACTGAAAATGCTTTACGTTGCTTTGAGGAGGGGAAATACATGGTGTCTACTTTTTGCGACTTGAGTAAGGCATTTGATAATGTCAAGCATGAAATCTTAATACAGAAACTCAGAAAATACAATTTTGACGGTAAAAGTATAGGTCTAATACAATCCTATCTCGAAGGTAGATCACAGTCTGTCAAAATTAATGGACAAAAATCAGACTCTTTGAGGATCAATGTGGGTGTTCCTCAGGGGTCCGTTTTGGGCCCTATCCTTTTTTTAATTTACCTAAACGACCTTTCTCTTAATGTAAATGCTGATTTCAGATTTTATGCTGATGATACCACAATAAGCTGCGAAGGTTACATACTGG